CCTCCTGCACACTCCCCACTGGGGATGTGTGTGCAACCAATGTACATGACCTGGACTGGAATCAAACCTGGGACCCTTGAGTCCACAGGCCGATGATCTATCCACTGAGTCAAACCGGTTAGGGCAATTAATTCCCTTTTAATGCACATGAATTTCATGCATTGGGCTACTAGTATACAATATAACTTTGCATCCCAAATAATAAAATGTTTCAACTAAAAGCTGCCACATTCTCTGGATTTCCTCTAGAAAGAATGACCAACATTAGGCTACATCAGCCGTGGGCCAACTACGGCCCGTGGGCCGGATCCGGCCCGTTTGAAATGAATAAAACTAAAAAAAAAAAAAAAAAAAAAAAAAAAAAGACCGTACCCTTTTATGTAATGATGTTTACTTTGAATTTATATTAGTTCACACAAACACTCCATCCATGCTTTTGTTCCGGCCCTCCGGTCCAGTCTAAGAACCCATTATCGCCCTCAAGTCAAAAAGTTTGCCCACCTCTGGGCTACATTCAAGATAGTGATAATAGATTCTCTCACATGTTTGATGTTTATCTCTCTTCCTCTCCCAAATCTCTCTCTCTCTCTATCTATCTATCTATCTATCTATATACTAAATTTGTGCACTCGGGGGGTGGGGGGGTCCCACAGCCAGGCCTGTGCCCTCTTGCTGTCTGGGACCCCTCAGGGCATGACCACCTGCTGGCTTAGGCCTACACCTCCTGGGAATGGGCCTAAGCTGGCAATCAGACATCCCTCTGGCAGCCCATCAGCCTTGGGGGATGTCCACTTGCCAGCGGGGAGAAGACCTGAGCTACAGTCGGACATCCTTAGCACTGTTGAGAAGGAAGGAGAGGCTTCCACCACCACTGCTGTACTGGCAGCCATCAGCCTGGCTTGTGGCTGAGTAGAGCTCCTCCATGTGGGAGCTCATTGTCCACCAGAGGGCAGCTCCTGCATTGAGCGTCTGCCCCCTGGTGGTCAGTGTGTGTCATTGTGACCAGTCAGTCATTCCCAGTCTTTCAACTGTTAGGGTCAGTTTCCATATTACCCTTTTACTATATAGGATAGAGGCCTGGTCCATGGGTGGGGGCCGGCTGGTTTGACCTGAAGGGTGTCCTGGATCATGGTGGGGGTCCCGCTTCGTTGCCTGGCAAGCTTGGGTGAGAGACTGATGGATGTTTACAGCTGGTCACACACCCTTCAGGGTGGGAGTCCCCACTGGGGTGCATGGCCAGCCTGGAAGAGGGGTTGAGGGCTGTTTTCAGGCTGGCCAAGCCGGCAACTGAAGCTCCCAGCCTCTCCTTTTTTTTTTTATTCTGGGATTTATTTCCCTTCTATAATTGAAACTTTGTTGCTGCTCCAGCTCCGACGCCACAGCCTGCTGAAAGCAGGTATCTGGGGTTTGCTTAGCTTCTATAATTGCAACTTTGTTGCTTAGAGTGGAGCTCAGAGCCCAGCTGCAGCAAGAAGGAAGCTTGCCTTCCTCCATCACTGGAGCAAGAAAGACTCCTGCTCACTTCATCTGCATGGCTGCCGGCCGCCATCTTGGTTGGGTTAATTTGCATATCCTGATTAGCCAATGGAAAGCGTAGCAGAGTATGGTCAATTACCATGTTTGTCTATTATTAGATCAGATACACCCACACACACATGTACTAGGGGCCGGTGCACGAAATTCATGCATTGGGGTGGGGGGTGTCCCTCAGCCCAGCCTGCCTCCTCTCACATACTGAGAGCCCTCAGGGGATGTCATACTGAGGGCTTAGGCCCACTCCTTGCTCCCCTTGGGGAATGGGCCTAAGCTGCAGTCTGGCCTCCCTTTGTGGGAGGAGACTCTGCTGATCAGAGGAAGGCACCAGCCCCATCACCCCGTTGCTACAGCCACCAAGGTGTTTTCATCAACACGAACTCCAGTCCCTTCACCATGAAAAAATGACAATATTCTTAAGCATTTTCCAGATGTGTCTTTCATAGGATATGACATTTATTTTTTTTATCTTCACCTGAAAATATGTTTCCATTGATTTTTAGAGAATGTGGAAGACAAAGGGAGACAGAGAAACATCAAAGTGAGAGGAACACTTTGATTGGTTGCCTCCTGCATGAGCGCTGACCTGGGCCCCAACCAGAGAAGAGCCTGCAATCTAGGTACATGCCTTTGGTCAGAATTGAACCCAGACCCTGTGGTAGGCAGGCCGAGGCATTATCTACCGAGTCAAACCAGCTAGGGCAGGAAATGATATTTCTTAGCCCCTCCAACTGCAGACCTTCGTTTTTTTCTCCAGGAGTGAGGTGGAAAAACCCTACATCACATTCTTGAATTGTTATTACCCAAGTTACTAAGAATATTATCAGTTGCATACAGGGAGCTTAGCCAATGAGCGGTCAGAAAAGGCGTTTCCTCTGTAGTTCACACCAATCCTGGCTAAGCCCCTGCCCAGGCCTAAGGCCTCAGGCCGGGTGTTAGGCCTGGGCAGGGAATCCCAAGCCCTATGTGATTGCCAGCTCTGCTCCTGGCCAGGCCCCAAGCTTCTGCCAGAGGCCATCACCAGCTCCGCCTCCACAGTCCCCAATCTGCACCCTGGATCCCACGGGTGGCATCGGGCGCTGCCCGCCCCACTTGTAGTATGCAAATTTAGCAGCCATCTTCATTGGGTTAATTTGCATACACTTCTGATTGGTGGGCATAGCAAAAGCACAGTCAATTAGCATCTTTGTCTTTTTTGTTAGTGTAGATACACACACACAGATACATATACAAGTGAGAATAAAACCTGTTTAACATGGGTAAATTCCATCCCAATAAAGAACTTCATGAGGTAACACTGAGAAATTCTTAAGGTTTCCAATTAAAATCAGGACAAGAAATATTCCAATTATCAAGTACAAAGATGCCAATTTATGGTCTTCCAAAAACTTCATGTTCATATTAAAAACTATAGGTGTCAGCATGACAACCCAAATGGTGGGCTACCTACGTCATGAAAATAAAGCAAAATAGTCACCAAATTCTGATGTCAGTCCTTGCATTATAAATTCCAAACTACTGAGTGGAAGCTACAAGGGCTAGAAAGGCTGATGTGGGACAGGAAGAGCTTTACATGCTATGGTTACAGCATTCCAAAAAGAATGGCAGCCTAGAAGACAAAGTGAAAACCCAGAGAGGAAGAGGAAATAGGAAAGGAAAGAAATAGAATTCATTTTTCTGAGTTCAGCTAGCAGTACAGACTGGGAAAGGTGTCCTCTCTCGACATGCAGAGTTCTTGCCAATTCGGCATCCTGGGTACAACAATGTCACTGCTATTGCAATACTCCTCTTAATTATGGAAAATCGATTACACAGACAGCACTGTCCTGAGTATAGTTCCAGTCCCATAAATGTTATAAGCTCACATGCCCTCAAAAAGTTTTCTGTTGATTACACTGGCACCGAAAACGAAGTAACTTTGATATCATTTACAAACCTAGAGAAGTATTGTAAAGGATTCTTTGAATAGTGTTATCCTATATTATTAAAGGCTAATATGCAAATTGTCCCCTCAGGAGATCCACCGGGAGACCAGCAGATTGCTTGCTATGACGTGCGCTTACTACAAGGGGGTAGCAAGGAACATGGCAGGCGACCAGTGGCAGTGGCCACACGTGGGGAGGGAAGGAGGTGGGGAGGTGGGGAGGTGGGGGAACCTGATTGGCCCTGATCATCTGCCAGGCATGAAGACCCTACCTGTGCAAGTGCACTGGGCCTCTAGTTCTCTAAAAGAAGAAAATAGTGCGCCTTACAATGTATCCAATATTCCATGGGAAAGTGTACACAAGTGAAGACCATATAATATTCAACAGCTGACAGATCTTTAAGGCTGAAACAATCAACCCCATGACTTCACACACAAACACTAGGAATAAAACATAACAGCATCAAGTGATATGGGAGTAGGATCACATTACTTCCATTTCAAAATACTCTAATTGATTTCAATATAAAATAGGCAACACTCTAAGAAACTGTACATATGGAAACATCACTTTTTTTAAAATTTTTTAAAAATATATTTTATTGATTTTTTACAGAGAGGAAGGGAGAGAGATAGAGAGCCAGAAACACCGATGAGAGAGAAACATCGATCAGCTGCCTACTGCACATCTCCCACTGGGGATGTGCCCGAAACCCAGGTACATGCCCTTGACCAGAATCGAACCCGGGATCCTTCAGTCCGGAAGCCGACGCTCTATCCACTGAGCCAAACCGGTTTCGGCAACATCACTTCTTTTGATATGGTCATACATACAAAATATTAGCGAACTACATTTAAAGTTTGGAGGACACTATGTAATAAACATTCTGATTTAGGGCAATACCTGAAAGGCATTATGGCGACCTATCTAGTGTGAATTCAGTGATACTTTAAAATTCATAATCAATTACATATTTCGATTAAGTTTTTACATCTTTAAAGTCACTTTAAGGCACAAATTCCTTGGAAATTTGTAAACTGTACAGTTTGAACAAAAGTCCTCCCTCCTATATCATGAATGTAGAATTACACGATTACAATCCCTAATATTGAGTGAGACTGTAGGTCCAACTATATGATTTCCCAGATTCTTCAGGTTTAAGGTTTCCCTCTAGAATGAATTCCAATGTGAGCAATAAGCTACGGATGCTGACTGAAAACTTTAGGACATTGTTTATTGTCAGGGCCAGCCTGACAGATTGAGCCGAGCTGAGGCAGGGAGGTGGGAATTGAGAAAAGAAAGACAGGAAAGCGGGGTCGGGAGGACTACAGCTCTCGAGGAACTGAAGCAACTTTATTAGCCACACAATCCCATTTATACACAACACACTGAATAGGAGGTCTGTCAAGAGGAATGTACTCTTTGTTACTCTTAATCTCTAAGGGAGGGACAGAATAGAAGGACAAGTTCTCAGTACAGCATATCTCAGTAAATAGTAACAGACTTCTTGGTAAGCCACGAAAGGCTGTTCTCATTCTACAAAGGTTGCTCTTATTCTACTGATAATCGCCATCCAAACAAGTCTGGGGAAACTGTGTAGGTAAGGGTCCCAGCCTTGCTAGCCCCTTCAGGTGCAAGGACCTTGCCAGCTTACATCTGGCCCCCAACAGTTTACATTTGTATTGTTTCTCCCCAATATGAGTTCAAGTAAGGTTTGCATTCTGAGTAAGCTTTGTCACATTCTTTATATCTGCTGGGTTTCTATCCAGTAATAATTATGAGATGTAGTATGACATATACATGGAGATAAACACTTTGACATATGCCTCAAATTTTTCAGGAACTAATTTTATCATTCTCAGTGAAGCTTCAACCATGGTTCAATCTTTGGCCAAATACTTTATATTATTGCTCTTTCTCTTTAGAATGATGCCCAAGATGTTAAGTTTAACCACAGGTTAAGGGTTTTCTCACATTTTTTTTCACAGTCTAAGACTTTCATCCACTAAATAATCTCTGATGTTCAGTAAATTTTGAGCTTTGAGTAAAAGCTCCAACCCATTCTCTACATTTGTAAGGTATCTTTTTGTTATGAAGTCTCCAAGTACAGTAATATCCAAATGGCTATTAAAGGCTTTTTACATTTTTCACATTCATAAGGATTCCTTCCAGTATGAATTCGGTGATGTTCAGTAAGTTCTCACAGCTGGTCAAGGACTTACAACCCTCCTCACATCTGTAAGACTTCTATGAAGTTTGAACTCTCTGCTGTACTGTAAGGCATGAACATTGATAAATGGCTGTTACATTCTTTAAATTTGTAATGTTTCTCTCCATTATGAATTTTCCGATGTCCATTCAGGTTTGATGCGTCAAGGAATCCTTTACCGCATTCTCTACACTTATAAGGCCTATCTTAAGTATGAACACTTAGATGATTAGTTAGACTTGCGTAGCTGATAAAGGATGTGCCACTTTCTCTACATTTATAAGGGTCCTCTCCAGAATGAACTCTCTGATGTCTATTAAGAGAGGAGGAATGACTAAAGGCTTTGCCACATACTCTACATGTATAAGGTTTCTCCCCTGTATGAATTCTCTGATGTATAATAAGGTAGGAGTAATCGCTAAAAGCTTTGCCACATTCTCCACATATATAAGGCTTCTCTCCAGTATGAACTCTCTGATGCCTAGTAAGGTGTGAGAACCGTCTAAAGGTTTTGCCACATTCGCTACATTTGTAATGTTTCTCTCCATTATGAATTTGAAGATGTTCATTCAGGCTTGAGGTGTGCGAAAATCCTCTACCACATTCTCTACATTTATAAGACTTCTCTCCTCTGTGAACTCTCTGATGTGAAGCAAGGTGTGAGGAGCTGACAAAGGATTTGCCACATTCTCTACATTTATAAGGCTTCTCTCCAGAATGAACTCTCTGATGTATAGTAAGGACTGAGGAGCTGACAAAGGATTTGCCACATTCTATACATTTATAAGGTTTCTCTCCCGTGTGACCTCTCTGATGACAAGTAAGCGATGAAGAATGGCTAAACGTTTTGCCACATTCATTACATTTATAAGGTTTCTCTCCTGTATGAACTCTCTGATGTGAATTAAGAGAGGAAAAATCGCTAAAACCTTTGCCACATTCTCTACATTTGTAAGGCTTCTCTCCCGTGTGACCTCTCTGATGATAAGTAAGAGATGAAGACTGGCTAAAGGTTTTGCCACATTCTCCACATTTATAAGGTTTCTCTCCTGTATGAACTCTCTGATGTGTATTAAGACAGTAAAAATCGCTAAAAGCTTTGCCACATTCTCTACATTTGTAAGGCATCTCTCCAGTATGAACTCTCTGATGCGTAGTAAAGTGTGAGAACCATCTAAAGGCCTTGCCACATTCTCTACAATTGTAACATTTCTCTCCATTATGAATTTGACAATGTCGATTCAGGTTTGAGGCGTGAAGGAATTCTTTATCACATTCTCTACATTTATAAGATTTTTTTTCACTATTGATTTTTTTCACGTTATTTGTCTTGAATATTTGACTGGAAATTATACCACGAGAATTCCATTTGTAAGCTTTCTCCCCAGGATGAATATTCTCTTGTTCAGTGTAATTTGTAGACGGTTGAAAAGACTGGACACATTTATTTCCTTTGTGTGTCATCTCCACAATAGGAATCACCTCACGTATGTTGTGATTGCACCTTGGGTCACAGACTCTTCCACTTTTATAATGCTCATCTGCAAACTTGCTTCTCCAATGATTAAGATATAAGACTTGCTTAAATTTTTTCTGATTTTCATTCCATTGATCACAACTGTCTCCATTATGTGAACTCTGGAAGTAATGGGACATGGAAAGAACTTTACTGACAGAATTTCATTAAACATGTATACTTGTTCCATAAGAACCATTTTGTGATACTCATTAAACCAAGATGGTTTTACACAAAAGCTCTCCTAATTTATTAAAATTATAGACAAAATTAAATACAAAATAATCATTGTCAGAGGAAAAAGAATGAATCCTTGTTTAAAAGACTGCCAGCCCTAACCTGTTTGGCTCAGTGGATAGAGTGTTGGCCTGCAGATTGAAGGGTCCCAGGTTCAATTCCGTTCAAGGGAATGTACCTTGCTTCCAGGCACATCCTCAGGAGGGGTTGTGCAGGAGGCAGCTGATAGATGTTTCCCTCTCATTAATGTTTCTAACTCTCTATCCCTCTCCCTTCCTCTCTGTAAAAAAAATCAGTAAAATATATTAACAACAAGCAAAAAACGATTGCCAAATGCTGAGCCAGCATGGTTCAATGGTTGAGTCTTGATTTTTGAACCAGAAGGTCGGTTCCATTCCCCATCAGGGCACAAGCCTCAAGTTCGGAATCACTCCCCAATGTGAGGAATGCAGGAGGCAGCCAGTCAATAATTCTCTCTCATCAAGGATATTTGCCTATCTCTCTTCATCTCCCTGCCTTTCTGAATCCAAAAAAATATATTTTGAATAAAAATAAGTAATAAAAGCACTAGCTGGTTTGGTCAGTGGATAGAGCAGTGGCAAGCAGACTGAAGGGACCTGGGTTTGTTTCTAGTCAAGAGCACATTCACAGGTTGCGGGATCCATCCTCAGTGGGGGCATGTTGGAGGCATCCAGGCAATGATACGATCTTATCACTGATGTTTCCATCTCTCCCCCTTCATCTCTGAATTCAATAAAAATATATTTAAAAGTGATAATGATAGTAATAATAATAATGATTGCCCAATTGAGCATATTTAAATTTTATAGGTATATTTCAAATCTCTACATTTTAGAAATTATTGCATGAAAGTTTAATCCCACCCTACATTTTACAAAATTCAAATGATTATTTATACTACACAATATGTGAACTCCTACTTTATCCAGATTTCCTTTCAAGAACGCATAATATTAAAAGCTGTTTTCAACCTGCATGTGCAGAAACACACTGATCTGCCAATGGAACTGACTTTAATGAGGAAGGTTTCCCAAATGCATAATACACTTCACCTCTTTAGGTAACAACAATTTTATTATGAGAACGGTTCCAGATTAGTTCTGTTCATACTAATAACCTCTGTTCTCATCACACTCTTCCTCAAATACTGAGACTTTCATTAAGTGTACACTATCAAAGCGACACCTTTTATATCTTACCAGTATCAATTCAGAGAATAAATCTTGTATTCTGGTCTTGGGCATAAAGGCCTGGTCATCTTCAGATGACATAGCTGAAAGAAAACAAATGTTCAGTTTTGACAATCAGGTGGTGAGAGCACTCTGAAGTTACCAGCAACTATAGGCCAAATGACAGTTTTGAGTACTCCAAGAGGTAGTGAAGGATTCAAGGAAAGCTCTAGATAGGTAAAGTGAGGAAAACTCACATCAAGGAGGGACAAAGAGTTGCTTACATTTGCCGATGAAAACTGCTCAAACCCTTTGGCACATGATGGCCATATTATAAAAACACTCCCAATTCCCAGTTTCTTCGCTGGAGAGACAGAGATGAGGAAAGTACATGTTCAATGATCTGCTTGTTTTGAAGCAGCTTGAATAACAAGTTTCAGTTGTGCATGACACAGAGTGCAAACACAATGGCGGTACACAGTGAGTGCCCTGTTGTGGCCGCTTGTCACACAATGGGAAATTGTTCGAGCACCACACAGAATGTGATACTGAAGATATATATCAAGCCTGAAAGATACAGCAGGTCTGAGAAAGAAACAGAGAACATTTCCAACTGGGAAATTAAAGTGACAGCCGAACCAGGAATAGAGATCCAGAAAATAGTGTTGACCAAAAGTAGAATTTGTTCCACAGATGGTTATCAGTGTCCTCCTATAGAAAGCATGTCCAAAAGCCTGCTACTTTACCATTCAGGAATCTCAACAAAAGATACTGAGTCATGAAAAAAAACAGAAAAAGTGTACCATCAAGAAAACAAAATAAATGTAATCAAACTGGCACTACATTAATGGAAATATGTTAATTACCACAAAAAAGAATGGAAAATCTTGAAGCCAAAAAGGAGAAAAAAGAAAACTATACAAAATCACCAAAATATTATGTAACCAAAATAAAAATATAATATAATGCGAAAGTACTTTTTTTAAAAATATATTTTATTGATTTTTTTACAGAGAGGAAGGGAGAGGGATAGAGTTAGAAACATCGATGAGAGAGAAACATCGATCAGCTGCCTCCTGCACACTCCCCACTGGGTAGGTGCCCACAACCAAGGTACATGCCCTTGACCGGAATCGAACCTGGGACCCTTGAGTCCGAGGGCTGACGCTCTATCCACTGAGCCAAACCGGTCAGGGCGCGAAAGTACTTTATAAATACCACATGGAAGGGGGATATTGAACTACATAATACCAAAATTAAAAAATACATGTGCTGGCTTCGGTGGCACATATACTAAAATTGGAATGATACAGAGAAGATTAGCATGGCCCCTGCGCAAGAATGACACGCAAATTTGTGAAGCATTCCACATTTAAAAAAAAAATACACTAGAATCATGAAAGACACGATCAACTCAAAACATCAAAGAATTTGCCTGGCAGTGGTGGCTCAGAGGTTGTCTCTACCAATGAACTAGAAAGTCACGGTTTGGTTCCACATTAGGGCACAGGCCTGAGTTGAAGGCTCAATCCCCGATCATACAGTAAACAGCCCATCGATGATTCTCTCTCTTCACTGCTGTTTCTATCTCTCTCTCCCTCGCCTTTGCTCTCTGAAATCAATAAACATACATTTAAAATACAGTAATTAAATAATCAAAGAATTTGTACATAAATCATTACAATTTTAATTCATTAACATTTTGATTCAGAGAAGCCAACAAACACGTGGAAATGTGAACAGAATTTAAGGAACTCCTAAGATACTAACAAATCGGCTACCAAGGGGACCCCATAGAGACAGAATAGTGAAAAGCAGTAGGTAACTTATATAAAAAATTAATTGTTTAAGATCCTGACAATTGGAGAAAGCAACATACAAATGCAAGCAGCTCACGAATTCTAAGGAGAATGAATATAAACATGAGAACAGATAAAAAACAATGAAAATATCATGTGTCCCAGAATACTATCTAAAGACATATAAAAAATAATTCCTCATGGAAAGAACAGCTCCTCTAAGATCATTAGGGGTTTTCTAAGCAGAAAAATACTGCGGAGAACACTGGCATGAAATAAAACATGGAATTGATAAATGAACAAAAGCACCCAACAACGAACAACCTGATCGGTTTGGCTCAGAGGATAGAGCGTCGGCCTGGGGACTGAAGGATCCCAGGTTCGATTCCAGTCAAGGGCATGTACCTTGGTTGTGGGTGCATCCCCAATAGTTGGTGTGCAGGAGGCAGCTAATGGATGTTTCTCTCATTGATGTTTCTGACTCTCTGTCCCTCTCTATCCTCTCTGTAAAAAATCAATAAAATATATATATTTTAAAAAACCACCCAATAAGAATATTGACAAAACAGATGATAAACAATGGAGAGGAAACAACTTTTTAAAAGTAAAAATCAATAAAATATATTTTTTTTAAAATGCTGACATGCCAAGCTCAAAAGGTTCGCCACCACTGATCTACACAAAAGCCTACAAGGAGGCTGTTTATTCATAATTTAGTAAAATTGGAAGCAATGAAGAGGACTGGCAACAAGGGAATGGATAAATACAGTTCAGGACGTACAATGATGTCTTATTCACTACTATCCTATCTAATAAAGAGGGAATGTGCTAATTGACGCTCATGCTGTCGCAAACATGATGGCGCCCACAGCCAATAAGGAGGGAATAAGCTAATTGAGTGCCATGCCCTCAAAGATGGTGATGCCCACATCCACAAGATGGCCAGCAGGGGAGGGCAGTTAGGGGCAACCTGGCTAACAGGGGAGGGTAGTTGGGGTTGACCAGGCCTGCAGGGGATAGCAGTTGGGGGGGACCAGGCCTTGAGGGGAGGGTAGTTAGGGGTGACCAGCCTGGCAGGGGAGGGTAGTTGGGGGTGATCAGGTCGGCAGGGGAAGGCTGTTAGGGGCAACCAAGCCATCAGGGGAGGGCAGTCAGGGGCCACCAGGCCATGAGAAGAGGGGAGCCGGGGTTGACTCGGCCATTAAGGGAGGACAGTTGAGAGCGAATGAGCCGGCAGGGGAGGGCAGTTGGGGGCAACTGTATGGCAGGGGAGCAGTTAGGCATCGATCAGGCTGGCAGGGGAGTAGTTAGGGAATGATTAGGGTGGCTGGCAGGCAGAAGCGGTTAGGGGTAATCAGGCAGGCAGGCAGGCAGACGACCGATTGGGAGCCAGCAGTCCGGGATTGTGAGAGGGATATCCACTGCCCGTTTAGGCCTGATCCCTGTGGGATTGGAATTAAACAGGCAATCGAACAACCCTCAAGGGGTTCCAGATTGGAGAGGGTGCGGGCTGGGCTGAGTAACACCCACACCCTCGGTGCACGAATTTTGTGCACCGGGCCTCTAGTAAGGAAATAATACATGAAGCCATTCAAAAATATGATAGAAGCCTAGATAAATAGAACTAAAATGAAAGAATCCAATCTGCCTGCACAGGTAGCCCAGTTGCTTAGAGGATCGTACTGATATAACCAAGTTGTAGGTTTGATCTCTGGTCAGGGCACATACAAAAACATCAACTAATGCCCAGCTTAATTTCCTATCTCTCTCTAATTCTCCCTTCTTCTCTGAATTCAATAAAATCTTAGAAAATAAAAGACAGTGGATTATGAATTTTGATAAAGCTTTCCCATTTCCAATCCAGGTTGTCCTCTGGTCAGAGACATGGTAGAATCTTAGAATATTCTAAAAAATGATTTCCTAAAATATCATTTTCTGATAGTACCTTAATTAGTGTAGACAACATGTAAAGTGTGCAAACACTGAGTTCCTAATTCACATATATCACAAAGCTTTGCTTTTCTCTCCTACGGACCCCCAATTTGTTACTCTTTTAAAACATACAAAATTTTATTGCTTTCAGAGAAAAATGGAGAGGGAAAGAGAGATAGAAATATCAATGATGAGAGAGAATCATTGATTGGTTGCCTCCTGCACACACCCGACAGGACCCAGGCATTGGTCGTTGACCAGAATCAAACCAGGGACCTTTCAGTCTGCAGGCCGGCCCTCAATCCACTGAGCCCAACCAGCTGGGGCTCAATTTGTTCTTTGAGAGCATGAATCTAACACAGAAAGCAGAAGCCCCTAGAGATCCTATCTAATAAAAGAGAAACATGCAAATTGACCATAACCCCAACACCCTTCCCATTGGCTAATCAGCATATCCTTACGCAAATTAACTGCCAACCAAGATGGCGGCCGGCAGCCAGGCACTGAAGCAAACAGGAGGCTTGCTTGCTCCAGTGATGGAGGAAGCCAAGGTTCCCCACCTGCCGCTGCCGGCCTCTGAGCTTGCACTCTAAGAAAGTATGTTGCCAGTATAGAAGCTAAACAAACTCCAGAAATCTGCTTTCAGGCAGCAGGGCTTCAGCCAGCAGGACCGCAATAGTGTTTCAATTATAGAACCCAAACAAACCCAACCTGCTTTCAGCAGCCGAGGTCTCAGAGCTGCAGCCAAGGTCTCAGAGCTGCAGCCAAGCCTCAGCTCCAGTGACAGCCACAGAAGGTAAATAAATCCCAGAATAAAAGAAAAAAGAGCCTTAACCAGTTTGGCTCAGTGGATAGAGCGTCGGCCTGTGGACTGAAGGGTCCTAGGTTCGATTCCGGTCAAGGGCATGTACTTTGGTTGTGGGCACATCCCCAGTAGGGGGTGTGCAGGAGGCAGCTGGTCGATGTTTCTCTCTCATCTCTCATCGATGTTTCTAAGTCTCCCTCTCCCTTCCTCGCTGTAAAAATCAATAAAATATGTTTAAAAGAAAAAAAGGAGAGGTTGGGAGCTTCAGTCACCCGCCAGTCTGGAAACGGCCCTCAGCCCCTCACCCAGACTGGCCAGGCACCCTAGTGGGGGCCCCCTCCCTGAAGGGGGTGTGACCAGCTGCAAACAGCCATCATCCCCTCATCCAGACTGGCCAGGCACCCCAGTGGGGACCCCCACCCTGAATGGGGTATGACTAGCTGCAAACAGCCATCATCCCCTCATCCAGACTGGCCAGGCACCCCAGTGGGGACCCCCACCCTGAAGGGGGTGTGACCAGCTGCAAACAGCCATCATCCCCTCATCCAGACTGGCCAGGCACCCCAGTGGGGACCCCCATCCTGAAGCAACAAGATGATGGCTAATTTGCATACTGAAAGTGGGTGGCAGTGGGAAAGGTCGTCTGCCGTCCAGGCACCCGGATCTGTGACCCTGCCGGGTGGGGGGAGCACAGGAGGCTGTCCGCGGTCCCGGGACCTGGATCCGTGACCCTTCCCGGTGGGGCAGCAGCTCGCACAGGGGCGGATCAGCCGAGGTTGGGCAGGGCAGGACGCCTGGCTTCCGCCCAGCCCCAGTCACTCTGGGCAGGTGAGCAGTGCAGAGAGCCTCTGGACAGGGGAGGCAGGCTGGCGGAGGGCAGCCTGTACTCCCCACATGGCGTTGGTGACAGCTCTGAGTACGCCAAGCGGAGCCTGCAGGCTGAGCTGAAGTAGCGCCTGCAGGCCATCAGCGCCCAGGAGTGGCTGCGCAAGATCTGCCTCCTGGCCCAGAAGGTGCAGGATCCCAGGGACAGCCACCATGGCGGGCCAGACTGACATCCTTCTGGCCACTCCACAGGGCTTGCAGATCTGCAAAGCCAGAGGCCTCTGGTGTGCCCATCCCCCCCTGGTGTGTGAACATCCCGCAGCACACTGTCACCCTACCACGCCTGCAACAGTTGCAAACCAAGGCGTGCACAAGTTCCCCCCACCTCTTCACGGCATTCCATCAACCCGGCATGCCTAACACCCCCACAGGATGTGCACACATCCCCTCTGATGCGCTCATGTCCTTTGGAGAGTGTCTGGGTGTTGTGGGTGCTGAGGGTGGGCGCCTGTGAGATGACAGTGAGAGGGCAGAGTGGTGATGCCCTGTTCCCACGGAGGCCAGTGCAGCTACGAGATCACCTCTGGGGGTGTTAATGCAAAGGAAGGAGCAGGTGCAGATAGACAAACCTGGTGGGCACGGGCAGCCCTTGCTGAGGTGCCTTTGGTCAGCGTTCAAGATCAAGAACCCAGAGGCGGAGAGGAATTTCGTCCTCTCAGTGAAACAGTGGGATAGTCAGGGCGACTGTAGAGGAGGAATGTGCACTTTGGGTGCCAGCACCCATGAGCGAAGGCTGCCCTGACTGAGCCTCGCTTGCTAGGGGCCTAGCTCACTCCTGCCAGGCAGTGGGTGACAGGACGTGTTTTTCCGAATTAATGAGAGAAAACGTTGATTCTCCTGCTGACCATGAAGGTGGAAAGTGAAGTGGGGAGACATGTGGGGAGTGAGCGAGGTTCCCTGTGTGGGGGTTCCAAATCTACTGTTGGTTTATTTCACCGCTGACTAGAGATATACAGGGTGTCCCCCCAAAATGTATACACACTTTGAATACCTACTAATTCCAATGGTTTTAAGCATAAGAAAGAAACAACAATGGAGCTGTTATCTGTTAAAAGTGTGGGCACAAACAGGTAGTTGGACATTCCCTGAGGGGT